AATAAATAAATAAATAAATAAATAAATAAATAAATAAATAAATAAATAAATAAATAAATACTCTGCAAATACAAGGGGCTTTCGTGAACCAGTTTCGTCTTGGAGAAAAAGAATTCTGCTCCAGAAAATGTTCTGCATGAAACCAAGGCTGGTTTTCAAAGCAGGCCAGGCAGGTCCAGCATCGGCCTCGAGGGACCCTTCCAAAACATCTCACCTGGCTCGGCTAGGATGGGCTGAAGTTCTTGGGCCAGCATTTTGGCCAGCCGGGCCGCTTCCAAGGCTTTCTCAGCTGCACTGAGCGCCGCAGAGGCCTTCAGGCGAGCATCCGCAGCCCTGTAAGAGAAAAGACCCGGGCAGAGTTAGTCCCTATTTCCTGCCTTCCAGAAAGTGATCGACAACGCATTGCAGAACTTGCAAAGCTTAGAAGTGATGCTTGCATCTAAAGCAAAGAAGTCATTCCTTCAGAACTTCCCCAGCAGCTCAGGTGAGGGCACTAAAACAACATCATCAACAACAACAACTGGAAAACCATGTAAAAGGCTGACCGGAATTCTATGGCTGATCTATGTCTGCATAGAGGAAATCGTGTGTACTTTTGGTGGCAAATGGCCTCTCCTTAAAGGAGCACTGGTTGGCAAGCGTTCGGGTCCATGTCCCAAGTCCCCGTCAAAAACAAGCTCTTTTCCCCAGAAAAAAAGGGGAGGGATGGGTGGGTTTCTGAGTGGTGACTCAAGTCTGAGTCATTGAAAAGAAAAAAACCACTGGTAAAACTTAGATCCGACTTGACAGCGAGAGCCCCCGATCCCTACTGGTTGCATGCCTTATGTGCATCCGATCATGTGGTCAGGTACACATGCTGGAATGCAACCAGCCCCATTATAAATGATTGCCACCAAAGCTTACACAATTCTCCTTACAGAAATATATAAGTCAGTAAAAGGATTCTGCATATTGGCACAATCTCCTTTTTGTCATTTTTTCCCTGCCGATCCAGTTTGAGTTACAGCCGCGTCTACACTAACCCTGGTTTCAAAATTATTCAACTTTCCGTCTCTCAGCCAAAGAACCTGGTGGAGTTCCATATTTACTGATCACCGCCAGATGAACTGGCTTTTAGAAACATCGCCCAGCTGAATCCTGGCCACCTCAAGGGGAATGAAAATACAAGACTCTTCCACCAGGAATTGCTGGTATCTACACAAAATTAAAAAAAAAAACTCGTAGCTCTTTGGTAGAAGCCAGGATGCTTAAACTAATTTCAAAATGGTTCACATTGGCACTGCAGTGCACGTAAATTCCAAGTACTCTGCATTATCTTTGCAGCGTCTAATTGTAACCACGTATTTCTTTTTGATTTCACATTTCGTCAGCACATTGGGATGCTCCTGTCTCCTCTCCAGATTCCCATCTGTACCGCTGAATGTCTACGCTAACTTGAAATTACACACGCACGCACGCCCTGTATGCACCAAACTTGTTTCATAAGGCCTCCTTCAGGTGGGAGTTGGGACAGATTGGAAATAGCTAAGTCAGCCACAAATAACTCACTAGTTCTTCCTTCAGATAATAAAAGTGCATTTACTTTGCACTGCAGCTGAACTTAATGAACTTTTTAAATGAGGCAAACGGCTTTAGGTTCTTCCAAAGAGAAAAGAGGATTAAAAATATTTTAAGAAAGAAAGAAGAAAGAAAGAAAGAAAGAAAGAAGCGTGATTTTGCTCTTGCTCTTTTTTCAGGATAACAGTAGCTTTTTAGTCATTTCCTAGCCTCTCCAAATGATGGCATGGGGAATATTACATGGTGGAAACACCAGCTTGTGTTCCTAGCTTGCACTTTGTTGCCAGTGTGGAAACAACAAGATTGCATAACAGGAAAATGTGTTCTGTGTATGGTATGCCAGCTGCTTCTATCATTTATTTATTATTTATTTATATTATTTATATGCCACCTTTCGCCCCACAGGAGATCCAAGGGGGCTCACAACAGATAAAACAGATTTTAAAATACTACATAAATACCAGATTTTTTTAAAAAAACACAATTAAACATGTATGAAGATCTTGAAAATCAAATTTAAAAGTGATTTTAAAACATTTAACATTCTAGTGTTGAGAGGTTTAAAGCAACAACTTTAGTTACTTCTGAAAAAGAGAGAAAAATAAATAGTTACTTTTATGAAACTGTAAGTATCAGAGTAAGTAAGGGCTGGGGGGAAATCAGAACTCTATCTAATCATGTTTGAAAAGTAACTTTATAAACTCTGAGCTGGGAGCAGCAATAAGCCCAGTCTTGTTTATCTCAAACATATTCACTCAATGTGTGAAAAATGTCCTTCAGGAATCACTTTCTCCCACAGCTTTCCTGTAAACTGCCCTGGGAAGTTCTATGAAAAAATTGCACCAACATTTTTATAATGATTTAAAGGACTGGGTGGATGGAAGGTTTAGAGCCTTTATGGTGGCGACACCTTTTGTGGGTGGGGTGGGGGAATGTCTCTTCTGGAGAGATCAATTCAGACCCCATCAAATGTTTTGTGGGCTCAACAGATTCATTTGTTTTCCAAGGTTGTTACTATTACACAAACTGCCATGTTAATAACCAGCCTAAAAAAACTAACCATGCCGAAAACGGACATCTTTATCTAATCATTCCTATTTAGAAAGCTGTGATTACTCTATTGAGGAAGTAAAATATACCCATATGGACTATGTTGCACGCTACAGGAGGTTGTATTTAAAGGACTGTTTTGTTGTGCATGATATTTCCTGCCCATGGAGATGTATGGAGGGAACTGGACACCATACCTTACTACGAGAGCTGGAAAAAATTATTTTTCAGACAACAATTTCCAGACATTCAAGCACTGTAACCCATAAAAATAATATGCAAACTCAGCAGCCAAAGCTTAGCTGCTACTTAAGATAGTTTAATTTAGCGCAGTGAGCCTTTGGCGCCCCAAATATTTTGGACTACAACTCCCAGAATCCCCAGCCCATACGGCCATTGAGGATGGGAGTTGTAGTCCAAAAATCTGGAGTGCCAAAGGCTTGCCACTCCTATTTTTCTCTCTCTTCCACCTGGCTTTTTAATCATTATTGAATTATTATTTTTGTTGTTATTCCTATTCCCCTGATTTTTTATCATCTGGTGGCCCAACTTTTAGAGCTGGCATCTATAAAGTGAGTGGGAATGTGTTGATTTGGAATGTCATCTTCTTCTTTTTCACTATGCAATTTTCATTTATTTGATTTTGATTTTTGCACACCTACCCCTTGGTCTCTTGGGTTAAAAGGAGTCATGGAAAAAAATATTAACATAAAAATTATGTCATGCATGAAACTACCTCAACTTTTAGCAACTCCTGTTTTTTATCCTCCTAAATTCGTACACCTGGATTTTGGTTCCTTAGATATCTCTTCAGACTCATTTCCCTCAGAATGTCTTTGGAGTTGCCATTTAAGTGTGCTAATTTCCTAGTCACACATCCCTGGTACATTTCAAAACTGTCTTTTTAAGAAGCTAAAAAAAGGTGAATATTGTTATAATATTTTCACATTGCTTCACTTGGGCTGTGAACAGCTCTCCCTACCCCACCCCATCCCTGCATCCGCCCACATAGCGCACTGGTCTCCATAACCCACGCTCACAACACCTTCAGTTTCTGCTCACCTACGCAGCAACCTGCCATCCACCTACACTTTAGCCTGTTTATGTACAACAGAACCATTCAACGTGCCCCCCTTCTCCTCCTCATCTAGATCTTCCCCTCCTATTTGCAGACCTCCGCTCTTAACTTCCCCCCTTCCTTAACAGCTCCATTCTCTGGAAACAACACCTTATTGATTCCCTCTCTAACACACACACACACCATCGGCACATACACACACCACACCTGCTTGGTCATTCCTGCCCAACTCCCTCCATCTCAGGAGGCCCCCCATCCCCTGCAACTCCATCCCTTCCCAGCTTGGTCCATGCCCAGCGGATGCTGCTGCTCAGCTGTTGCCATAGCAGCCACTACCCAATCACCTTGCCATTGCCCAGTTGCCTAGGCGACCAGGCAGCTTAAAACAGGGGCTGGCCTTGGTAGAACCTACTTCCCTACTCTCCCTCCTGCCAAAACAGACACACACAGACACTCACATTCACACACACACACATAGACATATGAGTTTCTTTTATAGACTTAGAAGTCTTCCAGACATAGCTGGAAAGTTAGAGACCAAAACATACAATTCCCAAGTCTCTCTCTCTCTCTCTCTCTCTCTCTCTCTCTCTCTCTCTCACACACACACACACACACACACACACACACACACACACACACGGCTTCATGAGTACTCTCCCCCCATGAACACACACATACACACATACTATTCTTCTAGAGTGCTTTCACTCTGTCTCTCTCCCAAATAAAGAGAGCTGGGAAAGTTAGTTTTTTAGACTACAATGCCCAGAATCCCCAAGCCTACTAGGTGAGGCGGTATAAACTCCCCACAGTGGTTTTTCCAAGTCTTTTTCCTCTTTCTTCCCCTCACAAAACCCAGCAACTGGGTCTGACTAAAGCAGTGGTTCCCCAACCTTGGGTCCCTCAAATGTTCTTTGACTACAACTCCCAGAAGCCTTCACCACAAGCTTCTGGGCCAGGATTTCTGGGAGTTGTAGTCCAAGAATATCTGAAGGACCCAAGGTTGAGAACGACCAGACTAGAGGGTGAATGGACACCAAAGAAAGGAAAGACGGGAAAGTTGAGGGACAGGAAAACCAATAGGAGAGAGAAAGGAAAAATGGAGAAAATGGGCCAAAAGAGAGAGAGAGGGAGGGAGGGAGAAGGGATTCAGAAGAAAGAATAGGAAAATGAAGAGAAAGGAACAGTGAAAGAAGATGGAAGGGAAAATAAATGGGAAAAAGTAATCAACAATAAGGGACATAAGCCAATGCTAGGTTGGCGCTTGGACGAGTTGGTCCATATGGGCAATCCTGCAAAGGCCTTCCACTCCTTTCCAGTCACAGATGGGGGGGGGGAATAATAATAACACTTAGTCTTTTTGGTCCTCTCCCAACAGAAACTAATTGCTTTTATAACGAACGTACAGTCTGGAAGCCATAGGCTGTCTGGGACAGAAAATATCTCCCCCCACTCCCACCCCCATTCCAGTTCATTTTAAAATGGCTGCCTATATTTGATGAGGGGTAGTGGATGGTCACCAAGCCAACCGGATTTGAAAACACAGTTGGCTACCCACACCCCAACTGCAACAAGGGCACTATAAGTGTAATAATCTTCTATACCAAACAAGATGAAAACTTATCCAAGAAGTGAAAAGTCTGAGATAAAATATAGACTTAGACTCCCTTAAAATGTATGGAAACAGAAAGGCTGAGGCCTGCACTTCAGAAAGAAAGAATAGATACATTCTAGGGCAAAATACAGTGTCTCTAGACTTTAATGTTTCTAGGTGGTGAATGTCAATATTTGAAGGAATTTTGGAAAAAATAGACATAGTTTGCTTCTAAAAATCATAGCCGAATCTGAACTTTATTTAATTCTTTTGGCTCGACCCTCACAACTAATTGGAAAAACACTCCAGCCCTTTTGTACTCTGTGGTATGAAAAAAAATCCACATTGTATCCCACCATACCAATCATACAAAGCCTCCTTTCTCCATCAGTGCCCTAGGATCAGTTTCAACATCATTGCAATATTTATGTATATCTACATTGTTGTTGTTATGTGCTGTCAAGTTGGAAGCGACTTACAGAGACCCTCAGAGAGCTTTCAAGATTAGTGAGGTATTTCAGGAGTGGTTTTACCAGTTCCACTCCCCCAGTCAGTTTCTATGGTCAACTGGGAATTCGAACCCTTCTCTCCAGAGTCCTAGTCCTTCACTCTGTGCACTACGCCGCACCGGGTACATCCATGTCTACATACTGTATGTAGACAACAATAGATCAAAAGGAGTTACTTTTTAGGATTATAATTCCTTGAATTACTCTGTTTCCCTGAAAATAAAAAATCAGCCCTAGTATGATTTTTCAGGATGCTAGTCATATAAGACCTACCCCCCAAATAAGCCCTAGTTAAGTGAAACCCCACCCTCCACCATTATGAAGCAACCAGAAGAAGTTGACAGAACTGTATTTTAATAAATGTAGATTGTTGTATATGAACAAAATAAAACATCCCCTGAAAATAAGCCCTAATGCGTTTTTTGGAGCAAAAAATTAATATAAGACCCTTGTGTTTTGGGGAAACATGGTACCTGGCCAGGGTGACTAGCTTGATTCTGAGAATTTTATCCAAAACAGTAGTTTTCCCAAACTCAATTTTTCTCAATTTTTAAAGAAACTGTCCCGCCCCTATTCATATTTCTCCAGTTTCATCACTTTAGATCACAAGAGGCAAACTTCTGTTCTTTACTCGCTTCCAAACTCCACTTCTCAAACTCTATGTACTTCCCCACCATATCAAAATCTGAGGATTATCGATGTACCTGTCTGTTCATAATAACGTTTGGGATGTCATGCCCCTCACCTGGTGATGGCCAACTCTTGCTTTTGGCGTGCCATACTGACCGCTCTCCTGGCCACTTCCACGGCCCGGTCAACTTTCTCTTTGACCTTGCTCCGTCGAAGAGGAATCAAGTTCTTCACCTTGCCACTCACCAAACGGTTGAGTTTGTATTTCCCTTCTTCCTTGGAGCCATCGGGGTAGGTGGTGCGACCGTAGCCGTGGCGTCGATTGCCGAGCCACTCTCCCTCGTACCGCAGCCCGTTGGAACGGCGGCTCACCCCATAGCCACTGCGACGGTCGGCCCGCCACTCTCCAGCGTAGACCTCGGTGGAAGATCCTTCGATGGTCAAGGTGGAAGGCAACTCCGGGGGTTCTGTTTCGGCATAGCTGAGCGTGGTGGCCTCGCTTCCAGCTGAACTGACCCCTGCCTCGCTCTTAAGGGACCCCCGCTTACTCCCCAGGGAGGACTTCGATTCAGCCCTCCTCACCCGTAGTCCACTCAGGAGTAGCGAACGCCGAAAGAAGCCCCCTGATTTCTTTTTGGCTCCCTTGGGGAAGTCAGGGTCACCGGGGAAGGCCAAGACAAAACCACCCCTGGATCCAGAGGCTGGGCTGTCCCCAGGGAGGGGTGGTGGGGCCACAGAGGGAGGAGGGAGAGGGGGAGCAGGGACATTGGGATCAATCTCGCTGTGGAGGGATTCCAGGGAGGTCCGGCGCGGAGAGCGCACCAAGGCTGCCTGCCGATAAGGGACACTCTGGCGCACTCCATATCCATGACGCTTACCAGATTGCCACTGGCCCTGGTAGGTCCCTGCAAGCAAGAGGAAAATCAAGTGGTTAACCCAAAGAAATGAGGAGGATTGAACAGGAGCCTTTTGGAAAGAAATTGGAAGAGGAATGATGAAAAAAGAAAGGGAAAGTAGCCCGTGGTAGAAAAATCAGACGTGGGAGTTACTTTTTTCAGACAGCTCACCCAGAATGCCCCGGCTGCAAATTACGAGGCGCTTCAAAGCATCTGGCTTCCTTTTACGTGCATAGAAAGTGGGATAGTGGGTCAGACCAAAACCTAACGGAAGGATCTAAATGTTGCATCATACGCAGAACTTTATATCTTTCCTTAGCTGAAAGACAATATGGTCAATCATGGGGTCAACGAAGGACTGAGGAAAGAGACAACGGCTAGAGGAGTGTAAACGTATTTGATTTCCTCATAGAGTAAGTCTATGCTTTCTTCAAGGAACTTGTGGGGTTGGTTTGTGCTATCCTCACATTTGACAGCAAGACAGGATTACATTCAAGGCTACTCAAGTCTTGAAATTTAACCATTTCTCCACGCCATCAACCCACCTCTCAGTAATGGATGGATACGTGGAGCAGCAAGAGGACAAAGAGCATAGAAAATGGAGTGGAGAAACGTAGAAAATCTGAGATGTGGACAGTTGGCCAGGTAAACCACATATTAGGTGGACAAAAAGAAAAACAGGAAAGTTAAAAAATTAGGTCTGTGGGCTACTTGTCGCAGCCAAGACTTCCAACATGGTTTTCTAGAGCTTATCCATCTCTCAAGTTGGCCTCCAAAAGGACAAATCATGAACGCCAGATAGCTCTGGGAAGTCCAGTTTTCCCTGTGTGCGTAATTTTAGGGCCTCAGAAAAGTCTTTTATAGAAAAAGGAAGAGATTGACACCACTTCCTGTTTCTAAGAAAGCCCTTCATGGATGGATGGAAGTGAAGAATGGGATCAACATGAGTGATAGATGATGGAGTTGAATTCTCTCTCCCATGTTGCCTCTCTTACCTCCATCAGCATATGTCTCCATGCCGTATCCATCCTGCAGACCTTCACGCCACATTCCCTCGTAGGTGACGCCGGAATGACTTTCCCAGACCCCCGAGCGCCCCTTCAGCCCGTGGCTCCATTCTCCTTTGTAAGTCCACTTGCTCTTGCGTTCCACACCCAGTCCGTTGCGTTTGCCTTGACTCCAGTGACCTTGGTAGGTATTCCCACTGGGCCAGGTGTAGACGCCCAGAGACTCAAAGCCACGGCTCCAGCGCCCACTATACTCCCCCTGGGCGCCGGGGCCCGTGCATACGCCGTAGCCATGCGCCCGGCCCTCCTCCCAGTCACCCACATAGCAGCCACCATCGTCAAACTCGAATCTGCCTCCGTTGGACATTCATGTAACTTTTCTCCCCGGCCAATCGGGCTCCAGTTACCCACAAGTCCCTGCACGCATTTCCACGTCCCCTCTTTGGGGTGCCTTCTACACGGCGCTGCCTTTTGCGGACCACCTTTCCACACGTTCTTCCTCACAGCCGGGCATCAGGCAGTGAGCTACGAGGTCTCTAGCCACCGCTGAAGGGCTACCAATACAGCTTCACCAGCGCCTGCAGTTTTACAGTTTCAGGCATGTAAGGAACCACAAGCAGAGAGAATCGCCTTGGCTTACAGGATCCGCAAGCTTCCACTCAAACCAGGCAGAAATTAAATGTGGGACAAAGCCAATACCCAATGGTTATGTGCATGCAGTGAAGTTACGTCTACACAAAAGTTTACACTCCACATATTACAAGCACTGCAGTGTTCAGAGGTCTCAGATTATCTGCGAAGAACTCTGCGGAGCATCAGCAATTCCAGGAGAAAACAGAACTTCCCACTTCTTTAAATCTCTGGTTTATAGGAGTTACGAGGAAACCGAGATTTTCTGTTCCCTACTAAGTGCCAACAATGTCTGGCTACTGATCCACAGCACAGTCTGAACTGTTTCTGTGCAGCGAAGCAACGGGCGTTTTAAGTTGATCTTTGATAAACATCACGTGAGGGCCCTAAACCAAGATGAAAGTTGGGTTTTCTTTGGCTAGCACCAAACATTCTAGAGTTCCTACTGGTCCTTTGTTAACAGATTATGCCATTTGTAGCAACAGCCCTTCGTTCGGCTGGTTCGCGTTGCGTACGGTGGTCCCACAGCTGGGATTGCTGGTTCGACGGAGCGGGACAAGTGTCTTCTTGTTTATTTATTACAGGCAGAGGAAGGCCAGGAAGGCCTTCAGGTTTACAGGCACCTGGTGGTCTTGAATTGCAGAACAACTCCCAGCTGTCATATAGGCAGGAGACAGCCTAGGGAATCACAAACAGTGATACTGTACTGGTTAAGTCCCAAGAGGAACTAATCCAGAAAGCGCCGTAGCTGCTGGCATTGGTGGGTGGATGCCCCAAGGCTCCTCGGCTTCCCTTGATTGGATGGTCCCAGAGGTGACAGGCCACAGGTGAATGCAGGATCTGGAATCCTCAGGCTCCAGGCGTTTGTAGCAACAGGCGGCGTCCTGCGCCTGTTGGTCTCCTCTTCACTAGCGGCCCAGGTGAGCTCATTGGGCTGAAGTTCAGAAGAAACCTAAGGGTCCAGCGGGACTGGACAGCCTTTTCAAAAGAGGGAGGAGAGGCAGCAGAGCTGTCGTAGACGTCATTGTACAAAGTGTAGGACACAACCTGCACCAAGAGACACACGGATTAGGCAAACACAACTGAACTTTCCAAGAAGGAATCAAGAAGGAGACAACCTGAAGAAGGTGTCTTTGGGGGGTGTAGATGCTCACTCAACCAGCTGCTTCAGCAGAGGGCTTGGCAACGGGACCTGGTGCAGAAAAAGGCAATACGTATACACATAACAAACGTTTTCTAGGACCTGGTGCAGAAAAAGGCAGAGAAGGAAACGTACGCCTGCATGCCCATACGCGTGCACGCGCGCACACACATGCACGCACACACACACAATCCACTCCACACTCTACAGACATTTGTAAACAAGGATCAGGAGCCCATTCCAATTCGGACAGAAGGTGTTCACCACAGGAAGTAGATTGCCAACCCTCTATGGGGTGGGGGGAAGACATCACACATGGAGACTGATGGAAGGATGGATACACACACACACACACAACATACACACAGGTACCCAAACAAAGCTTGAAGAAAAGCAGGAGGTCCAAACCCAGAATGCAAGAACAGATGGAAGCACTAAGTCAGCAATACACAAAACATGCACACACCACCTCACACATACAGAAATGTGGATCCAGAAAACATTGTTCCAGTCCAGCTGTAGAACCGTGTAGAACACACATCCCTCGTTACATTACTAGCTGGCCATTTTTACACATAATTCTCTAGCCACCTGCAGACATAAACACATTCTACTCCTCTTCTAAACACCCAAATAGCAAAAAGATTGGGGGGGAGGGAAACAGAACGTATCCTGCAAATGCATAAATGCACACGAAAATATCAACCGACAGCAACAGAATGTCAAAACAACAGCAGCAACAAAAGATAACCTTGGAAACTGAAGAGCAATCTCTTGAAAAGAAGCAATGTGTCTAGGAATGAACACAGCACCCCGATTTTTTTTTTTACGGGAGAAAAATAGGTCTTATTTATTTCCATGACAGCAGCATGCAGAGAAACAGAGAGTGACAGCCCCTAGATACAGACAAGCAGGACAGAGAATGTTTTAAGAATGATTTCCATACTCACCGTGTGTTTATTCTTGAACCGGCAGAGGAAAAGAAGAAGGGGTGCCCGCTTCTAGAAAAGCCAGATAAGATAACAGACACACCCAAGCCTTAAGCGAGCGCATAGATCGGGAGCAATCTCAGCTGGGAATTCCACGGATCGCATTGGGAAGGAAAGACAACCCCATGTAGGAAATTCACAATGGTTTGAATAGAAAAAAAAAATACCCACTGGAAACATGAGCCAGAGGATGGAGAGCAAAATGAAGAAGAAATGCTAAAATCTGCTAGGAAAAGGGTGGGGTATGGTGGAAGAGGAGGGGGGGGAAAGCAAAGGAGGGGGGGAAGAGAGACAGAGAGAGAGTCCAGCCAGAAGCAATTTAATAGAGGTAGATTCCAAATGGAGAGATCAGGTGGGAATTGGGTGAAACATAGCTGGGGGTGGAGGATGGGATGAGGGAAGCAAGCAAGTTGAGATCCAGGAACGAGAGAGGATGGAAATGCCAGCTGGGATGAAATGGAATATGAAGAAGGGAAAGGAATAGAATAATGGAGATGGCAGAGGACGAGAGACCTCAGGTGGCGACAGAATTGAGCCTGTATCAGCAGGGAGCTTGCATAGAAGCGAGCTCTCTCGGTGTGTGGGTGGGGGGAAAGCCCTCTTCATACAGTCAGAAAGGAGGGGAAGCAATGGACCAGCCCGGCTCCCCGCAAAACACGGGGGTGGGAGGAAAGACAATTAAATATTGCTATCCGTTTGTCTACCAGGTTTTTGGGTGTGGGGGGGGAGATCCTCCTCATATCAGGGAAGGGAGACATCAGGATTTAAAGAATTTAAAAGATGCAAAGGTGAACGCTTTTCCCCTGGAGGGAAGATCAATTTGCCAGATGGGAAAGGGGGGGGGAAGAAAATCAAGATCCAGATGGAGCAATGGAAACCTCACATGGAAAGGGTTGAGAAGCCGCCCCCCCCCAGGTTCCTCCAGGGACGGAGGAATGATGGGGCCAGGGAAGGCTGGGGGTGGAAGCACAGAATGGGGGTGTCATATTATTAAAAGGGGAGCCTCTGTTTCAGACGTCCCCCCCACCCCAATACGGCTCGACGTGAGAGGTGGCGTCGCAGTGTCGGTTGCAGGCAGCTGGGGGGGGAGATGGTGCCAAAACCGGTTCTCCTCCTTGCTGAACCCCATTGTCTTAAAATGGCTGTCCCCCACCCCAATGAGAAATTAAGACGCCCACAAAGGATTCAGTCAAACAGACACTTTTATTTCGGCTCAAATACAGTATAAGGCACAGAAGGATGACATAGAAATGCTATGCCACAGGCTGTCCTCCCCATCCCTCACCCAAAAACTTCCTGCATCCCAGCCCTTCTGTTAAAAAAAAGGGGGTGGCTCTCCCCAAATCCATGCTAGCCACCCCCACCCTCTTCTCAAAAGGAGTTCCCCAAGGAATCTCCCCGGACCCGCAAAACATACATCGTTCAACATTCAGAGCAAAAGTGTGTCAGGCCTGGGGGCTGATTTTTGGGCCCCCACCCACCCGTCAGGACCATCCGCCGGCTCTCCCCCTGACCAACAATTAAAGAGGAAAGAAAGAAAAGAAAAGAAAAGTGACCAGATCACCATTTGTCACTCTGGAGAATAGAGGCAAGGGAAAGGTGAGATTTTTAGAAGGTGTGTGTTTGGGAGGCCTAGAAATCATTCCAAAGTTGATTTTCCATTTTGGGATGCTCCCAGATTTGGGAATTCACTAGTTTTGCCTCTCGTCCAAAGTTTACTGCAGGGAGCTTGGGAGGGGGATCAAAATGGTTTCAGGGCCACATGATTCTCTCCCCACCCCAAAGATTTAGACATGGGTTCAAAATAAGATCCAATCTTGCTTTATCCCATCCCATTTATATTGTCTTGAAGACAGGTCTCCATCTTGTTTTATCACCTCTCATAGAATCATAGACTAACTGAATTGGAAGGGACCTCTCATGCCACTGAGCCCAACCCCCTGCTCCCCTTAGGGGGGAGCCAGCCCCCAACCCACAAACATACATTCCCTGTTCCTCCATTGACATATGCAATCTCTTAGACACTATGAAACCTCTCCCTGGCACGGATGTCTCCGTATGTTATTCCTGATTTGCAGGAGGTCTTCAGTCCATCTGTGTTCTCGGGAAGGGAGGCAGACCAGGCCACGGACCCAACACACATCAGAGGCGGGAGGGCGACCCTCCGGCCACCACCACCGTCTCCCCTGTAATGTAGTCAGCATCAGAGGAACAAAGGAAGGAGACAATGCCAGCGCAGTCAGACGGCTCTCCAATCCTGAAGGAGAAGAAAAAGACCACCGTCTAGTGAAGGGCAGAGTAAAAGGGATCGTGCCTACAGGACTCACTGGCTTTGTTTGTGCAAATCAGAGAAATGGGATGGTAGATCATCTTGGCTTACTATTGAACCCGCTGTGTGCTTGCGTGCACAACCCTTTCGCTTTTCTTTAGCTCCTCCCCATCTTGCCCCCCGATTCCCAGACTGCGGGGCCAGGAAGAAATTGCAAAAGGAGATGAGGGACGTGAGATTTTTTTTTTTTCGTAAGGGGAGGAAAAAAAATCTTTACTCGCTGTAACAAAGTTTTGCACTACGAGGCTCTGACTAGAGATTGGAGGATGGGAAAGGAGAGGCAATGGAAGCACAAGGACAGAAATAAACATGGAATAAGCTTTGTGTGTTGTCCAGCCTCACTATCTTGCCGCCGACAATCTTTTGCAAACACGGATTGAGAAACAGGGTTTGTTCCTGGCCGTTTCTTGAGGTCGGCGCTCAGAAAGAAAGAATTGCTTCCAAGATATGTGGCTTAAATCAGGGAGATCAAGGTAGTGAGAAAATATCAACACATCTCTCCAACGCTGGCCGCATTGCATTGGCTGCCCATCTGTTTCCGTGTCAACTTCAAAGTTTTAATGCTTACTTATAAGGCCCTAAACGGTTTAGGACCTCGATATTTGGCGGAACGCCTCCTCCCACAAAGATCTACCTGGATCACCCGCGCGAGTCAGGAGGTGAGGCTGAGGAGCCTGACGCCGAGAGAGGCCCAGAAGGAGAAGACATGAAACCGGGCCTTCTCGGCGGTGGCTCCTCGCCTCTGGAACAATCTCCTTCCGGCGATTTGCGTGGCCCCCACGCTGGGCACCTTTAAAACCCAATTAAAAACATGGCTGTTTATTCAGGCCTTCCCTCCAGCCAACTCTTGATTTTTCTTACTTTTCCTTTTTATTTTTACTGCTGTTCTTGTTTGATTATTATGTATTTGTCTATGTTTTATTATTTGATTTTATATTTGGAAGCCGCCTAGAGTGGTCCGGTGGGCCAGATAGGCAGGGTATAAATCAAATAAATAAATAAATAAATAAATTACTGGAGTTATCAGCTTATTGGGCTATACAGAGGCATATATTTTTTAAAACTTTAAACACACTTAGGGTCTGACTGCCGATTCATACATGCAGCTTCTGACATACTACAGTCACCTCTGAGTTTGCCTGTAATCTGTGTCTGGCCCACAGGCCCCTAGCTACCAACGATTGGTTTGCTGGAAAGATTGGATAATTGCTAAGCTTACCTGTGTATCCGCATGGACTCCATCAATTTATCACCTGTCGCTTTGTCCTGCCACAGCTGAAAAGGTAAGAGTTTGTGCCTGTTTTATTTACAAAAGAGTTATTACCCTGTATTTCTTTCCATAACAAGCCTCTTCTAAAGGCAGCCAACATTCCCAATTAAAAAACAGATGCAGACGCACGAAGAAAGCATTAAACTTCTGAGACCTACACTATTTTGGGAACATAATATCTTCTCCTACATCAGCATACTGATCCATGAGGTCTCCTCCACCCTTATTGTGTCTGGAGAGATGGACCTCTGTTTCTTGGCACACAACTGTTGAGTTCGTTATTGGGAACAAAGACTAATATCTTTCAGAAGTCTGAGATCTTCCGAGCTTTTAAATTAGGATGCATTTAAAATTCCAATCCCAACAGAGATGAATCTTCCAAATAGGACAAAGTGTTCACATTCTGCAAGCATTAGTTTTTTTTTATTTCAAGTTTCGGAATCTTCAGCCAGTTGACTACTGCAAATCAGTGGGACACGTGAATCATGATTTGTCCCCAAAAATGTCTCTCAGAATGGAACCTGAACACTTTATTTTTTTTTAGCTGCTACAAGTGCTGTCGCCATAGGACTGAATTATCATTGCAGTCTTTGTGATAATGTTGCTGCCGAGAAATGTATTTGAAAACGGAAGAGCAAGATAAAAAGGTTTCATTAAAAACAAAAAACCTCCAACTTGAAAACAAAACAAAAACACAGAGGAACAATATTTTTAGTAAAGTAAAAGGAAATCCAAGTTTTAAAAACAAAACAGCACAGCAACAGCAAAACTAAAAACAGTCAAATGGTACATATAATGATCAATATAAATGATCAGAAATGATGCAGTTAATGGAATAAAGATTTAAGAAGAAGGTGGCCGAGTGAGAATAAGGAAGGTGTGGAATGGATATCTTGAGGCAGGGAGTTCCAAAGGTCATGTGATATTTAGGTAAAGGCAGGAGGCCCCAAACAGCCTTCCCACATGAGTCTCAAAGACCGGGACAGGATGATGTATGGAAAAAACTCTTCTACTGCCCATCGCCCCTTCTCCTCTGCTGGTACTCACCACTGAGCTGAACTTGGTGCGGATCAAGCCGGGTGCGAGGCAGTTGACACGGATGTTCCTGGCGGTCAGTTCCAAGGCCAGGTTGCGGGTGAGGCCCAGAAGGGCTGTCTTGCTGACGTTGTAAGGACCCAAAGCCTAGTGGGATAAAAGACCTTCAGCCTTCTTCCATCTGTGTCCCTCTAGATGTGTTGAATTACAACTTCCACCATCCGGTGGACTGCAACTCCCAGTAATACCCAACCCCACCTTCTGGGGTAGCAATGTCCATCACTCCGGCCGGGGGGTGCCAGACACGGTCATATGCCACATCTGGAGAGCCACAGGCCAAGGAAGGCAGGCTTGGATCCAAGTGGATGTTTAAAGACAGCCCTCAGTCACAGGGACCACCAAAAACTCACACGGACCACAGATGCCACCCTGTCTGTGCTAGAATCCCATCTCCACCCAGTTTCTGCTATTGCTAAAATCGGATGCCACTACAGTATTTCCCTTCTTAACTTCCAGTCCCAACTGCCTCCAAAATGTCATGGCAATTTCAGAGGCGGCGACTGTGTCCCCAATAGACGTGCTGCCTGCGGAGTTCAGGGAGATGTCGTCTAAAAAAGTACCGTATTTTTCGCTCCATAAGACGCACCTTTCCATAAGACGCACCAATTTTTAAGGAGAAGAAAACAGGAAAATATAATCTGTTTTCTTCGCTCTATAAGACGCACAGACTTTCCACCCCCCTGTTTTGTGGGGGAAAAAGTGTGTCTTATGGTGCGAAAAATAAGGTAACTTTTCCAAGCTGTCCTCTGCCATAGGTAAGGACCGTCCCTACACCAATCTGCAGTGAAGACATCCAAAGCCATCCATGCCTGCAGCCGCCTGACCACTACATGCTGCGGCAAGAAATTCCACAAATATTAATTATCCATAATCTGAAGGACATCTTTTCACCTCTCCTGATATTACTAACGACTCCTTCACCTGGATAAACCCCAGGTTCTAATTCTACAAGAGATTGACTCCTATCCTCCAGGAATTAAGAATCTTTGACTCTTCTGATGTTTTGGCCCACAACACCCACAGACCTATCAACCATGGCCAACAGCAGTTGTGAGATTGGTTTCTCTAAAACATCTTGGTGGCCCAAGGGTCCTCATCTTTGCTCCATCCAACACATTCCCTAAACTAGTCACCATTTAATAAGCCTCCCCTTCCCAAGTTGACCCGAGTTCAAATCCATCCTCAACCATGAAAACTCAACAGTGGGTGGCAATAGAAAACCAGTCACCGAACACCTCACATATCTTGAGTACTCTATTAGGGTTGCTGCAACTTGTAAGTGATTTGGATCATGACAGCAAGGTTATAGCAAAGTTACTAAGGATGTTCCAGCTTCTAAAAGAGAAACACAGGATCGGTGATGGATGTCGTGAGTTCTGCCAAAGAAGGTCTGGAATCTGAGGGATTAATTACAGCTGAGGAAAATCCTGGGCAATCAGGCAGGCAGCTGAATCACCACCAGATTCTCCTCCCCCAGTAGCCAGAGTAAGGGATAAGCTTCGGCAAAGACTCATGACACGAAGGTCTGAGGCTAGCATGAATGCTTCCCATAGGAACATCAGGTCGACCAGCCCTGAGTTTTAGCAGGATGAATGGTTTAGATGACTGCTACTGCTATAAAATCTGCACCCAGAGGCTTGCAAGCTTGTGGAAGTAACAAGTCCATTCTCTGGCTCTTGTCCATGTTCCTGCTATCTTGAACCTTGCTTACTTGATCCTTGGACTCTGACTTCTGACTAAGGTTTGTGTTTTGGCTTTGGCAATTTGGCATCTGCTTTGTATCCCCCGGACTTCTGATTTTGGACTGACTTATTGGACTTTCACCTGCTGCATCCCCTGGAAATGTGACAACGGAGGAGTCCGTGGGTGACTTACCGGAAAGGGGGAATATGCAGCGACGGAGGAGACAATAACTATGGAGCCACCTCTGTAACAGTAGTGGGGAAGAGAAAAAGAGAGAGAGAGAGAATTCTTATTGCGTCCTTCAATTTCTCTCTGTCCTCTGCCACAGACGACTAAGAGGAGACATGAGAAAAAAAGACTGAGGGAAAATAGGATACCACTTTTCAAATGCTTGAGAGGTAGTCCTACAGAGAAGGCAGGATCTGTTCTTGATCATCCCAGATTGCAGGACGTGTCCCTCAAGCTATTGGAAGCCAGATGGAAAAACTTCTTAGCTGTTAGGGCAGCATGACAACGGAACCCATGACCTCAGGAGGAGATGGTGAGCACTCCAACACTGGAGGCATTCAAGAGAAAATTGGACAACCCTCTGTCGGATCTGCTTCGAGTTCAATTCCTGCCTTAAGCAGGGGATTGGTCTCGATGGCCTTATAAGCCCCTTCCGTTCAATTCCTGCCTTAAGCAAGGGATTGGCCTCGAAGACCTTATAAGCCCCTTCCAACTCAGTTATTCTAGGGTTCTATTATATTTTCATATTTTCCATTCCATCCATGTTATTACTGCACCAGAGTCACAGGTTAAAATCTGTATTAGGCTAGGTGAAGAGACCACCCCAGCAATGACAGCAGAGAGAGAAATCATGTGATCTTAGAATGTAACTGAGGTGATGGAAAGGGTCATTGGCAAAAGTTTAGGTCAGGGGTGGGCCGCATATGGCTTCTGGACCATTTCTGTTTGCACAGCTCCTGGAGGCTTCTCCGCTATTAAAAAGATATAAGTTATTTTGCCCCCTCCCAAAATGAAAATTGACTGTGCCTCTTTGCTCCACAAAAGGGTGACGTTGCAGATTAAACCGCAGAAGCCTCTGTGCTGCAAAGTCAGAAGCCCAGCCGTCGAAAGATCGAATCCACGCAACGGAGGGAGCTCCCGTTACTTGTCCCAGCTCCTGCCAACCTAGCAGTTCGAAAGCATGTAAAAATGCGAGTAGATAAATAGGGACCACCTCGGTGGGAAGGTCACGGCATTCTGTGTCTAGTCGTGTTGGCCACATGACCACGGAAACTGTCTTTGGACAAACGCTGGCTCTACGGCTTGGAAACGGGGATGAGCACCGCCCCCTGGAGTTGGACATGACTGGACTAAATGTCAAGGGGAACCTTTACCTTTGCCCATGCTCCACAATTAGCAAATCTGTTTTATTACAAGGTGAAGGATCCTGGCCTTTCCTGAAGGGATTTTATATTGCAAGGAAACGCCTAATCACTTCTGGTTTGGCAAAAATCATTTTTATCTAGCTGCCTAGAGTGGTCGTAATTGACCAGATAGGTGGGATATAAATAAAATACATAAAATAAATAAAAATAAATTTTAAAAAAGAGATTCTTTGGACAAGGAAGTGGCCCACAGCTATTCTATGGAGGAGGTTGAGATAGTTATCTGGAGCTGGCTAGTCGATCTTGGAGATCCAATTGAGATCCCCTAAGCCTGTTCTGTGTTGAAGAATCACCCTCCAACCAAACAAGTCCTGAGATCTAGATACTGCTCAGTCACAAAGGTCACGAAGTGCCCTCAAGCTGGTCTACATCCCTTGCCCTAAGCAGCCTCATTGGGCTGTTGTAAGGCTAAACAGGCCCACCCCAGCTCCCCACAGCCCCATTTCCTGGGTCTGAAAGAGACCTGTTGTCTCCTAATTGGTCACAATCACAATGAGGGCTAGAAACCTGGATGCGGATGATTTTGATCATTACAATTCAGGAACCCTAAGAGAGAGGGGGGGGAAGTCTGTCAAAATGTATCAGAAACAAGACAAGATAAAGAAAAAAGGAACGTCAAGGTTACCCCACAGAGATAATCAGAATATGGACAGGCATTTTCCCAAAGCTACAAAATGTCCCCATGCACCGGGAGGTCCCTTGTTTCGCTTACCCCCTCTTCTCCATATGAGGGACCACCTTGTTAACCAGTAAGGCGGTCGCCTTTATGTTGACATCCAGAATCTAAAATAAAAAAAAAGAGGTGGGGAGAAATGGGTTTCAGAATTGGTCACTTAGAGCACTTTTCATCTCCCGACCCCCTTCACCCCAGTTTCCAAAAGGAAGAACTGCCTCGGATGAGCTGGCTCTCCAACCGGCCCAGGACAATATGGGGCGGGCCAGCCGCTCTTCAGGGCCTCCACCCCATAAACTCAGTTGTGCTTGTTTACATATTTGGAAAGACAAAACACTCGGCCACCATCCATTCTGGGAAAGGCAGTCCAACAATCACCAAACTTTTCCCACCTCTGCACCGGATCCCCCAACTGGCTCAAAACCAGATACAGTGGTGCCTCGCTTTACGACTGCCCCACATCACGATGAAACCGCTTAACGATGATCTTTCTGCGATTGCAAAATGATGGTCTGAATGGGGGAATTTCGCTTTGCGATGATCGGTTCCCTGCTTCGGGAACCGATTCTTCACAAAACAACGTTTTTTCAACAGCTGGTCAGCAGTTTCAAAATGGCTGCTGGGTGATTAAAATGGCTCCCCACTGTGTTTAGGGACGGATTCCTCGCTATATAGGCAGCGAAAATGGCCGCCGTATGGAGGATCTTCGCTGGACGGTGAGTTTTTACCCCAATGGAACGCACTGAATGGGTTTCAACACGTTTCAATTGGTTTTTTATTTTCGCTTTACGATGTTTTCACTTAACGGCGATTTTCCTGGAATGGATTATCGTTGTTAAGCGAGGCACCACCGTACGGAAAGAGATGCAACCCCTGAGCCACCGATTCCCACGCAGAAGATCCCAGGCCGAATGGCTGATAATGGCACTGAAAAGAACCAGTCTCCTGTGGTACCTGGAAGACTAGCCTATTTATCATAACTTAAAATTTTCATGGACTTCCGTCTTCATCAGATGCATAAGAAAACTACCACCTGAATAACAGACATCCATGCTGGGTTCTGCGTCCTGCATAGCGACTCTAGCTGATTTCCAGTGCCTTGTTCCTAACAGTGAGTTGGTCGGTATCACTGGCTCACCACGTGTCCTGTTCCGGACACAAATCCGAAGTTTGTTCTTTTTGTCTCACCCGTTGGCCCCAAACCTCCTACCTTATCCCATACTTCTTCTGTGACATCAAGGAGGCTGCCCATAAAGGGGTTCACAGCTGCGTTCGATACCAAGATATCGATTCCTCCGTGGCGTTCCAGGGCCTAAAGAAAGAGGCCAAGATCCGAACCATCAGCAAATCTTTCTCTTTCTAGACCCACCCACCCCCCAAAACAACAGCAACCAAAGGGATCAACATGAAGGAAAATCTTCACTGGGTGTAATTGCTCTGCTTTACCCAGTTGTGAAACCACAGGACAGCTGCTTGTGTGACAAAACCAGGATTGGATAACAGCCTGGCACTCAATTCTGAAAGTGTGCCATCACTAACAGGCATGATTCTAGTGCAAAGGTCTTGAGAAACACAGAAACTAAGCCCTATGAAGAAAGACCAAAAGAATTGGGCATGTTTAGTCTTGGAAAAAGAAGACTGAAAGGATCTTGAGTCGTGGCAACCAGATTTGTTTCTTATTAGGCTGAAATGTTTCGCTACTCATCCAAGTAGCTTCTTCAGTGAGGGAGAGATATAATCATCAGTCCATTGTGTAGGACATGTCATCATGGGCTCAAGTGACAAGAAGCCATATTTAGGCTGAATATCAGGAAAAAAACTTCTTAACAGTTAGAACAGTACAACAACAGAACCAGTTACCTCGGGGAGGTGGTGGGCGCTCCAACACTGGAGGCCTTCAGGAGAAAACTGGACCACCCTCTGCCAGATCTACTTTGCTTTGGATTCCTGCCTTGAGCAGGAGGTTGGACTGGATGGCCTTGTAGGCCCCCTTCCAACTCCATGATTCTAGGATTCTCTGATCTTACAGAATATGTAATTTTTTTTTTGTAAAAAGTGCTTGTTTGTTAACATCAGCAAATTCTTCTCTGAGGTCCGCTGATCTGTGGTTTTGGACTGCAGCTCTGAAAATTTCCTAGGAAGCACAACTGCCTGGAGAATTCTGGGCAGTGTAGTCCGAACACTCAAATCTGTAAACTTCGAATTCAAAGTAAGGCTTCCAGGCTCTCGGCTCTCTCCTCTTTACAAGTGCTTCAGTTACTCAAGAGGTAGATTTAACATCTAGCTGCCCTGAAAGGATCCGTAGGAGTTGAAAAACAGGTATAGTGAAATATCTCCCGATGGAGGCCTGTTGGAACGAGGAGATAAAGCCCCACCCGAAATCCCGCACCCGTGAGAAGCACAGGACTATAACTCCCAAAGCATCCAACCCTCACCGCATCAATGAGGCGCTGCCTGTCTTCCGCTTTCCCCACGTGGCACACCAACCCCGACACGCTGAGGTTCTCCTTCTGTAATTCGTCCACCGCTCGGTCCACGTTTGCCTGTTTTCGGCTGCTTATGACCACGTGGGCCCCATCTTGAGCCATGCGGCGGGCAATCGCGAAGCCAATTCTGGCGAGAAACAAGGGGAGGGGGTGACAATGCGGAATATTCTAAGAAAAAAAGCTATATAAATTTTATTTATATAAAATATTTTTCTCCCACCTTTCTTCTGAAAAAGATCCCGAGGCGGCTAAAGAAAGCCCCTACTGCCAGAGAACAAAGATGGTTAATATTTACTTGCTTTTAATGATTTACTTGTATTTTAATTAGCCTATAGTTTGTCTTTCAATGTTTAACTTAATAGGTTTTTAATTCTGTTCTTTTTTTATACTGCGAACTGCCTTGGTTTCCCTTCTCGGGAGAAAGGCGGCCTATAAATAAAGTAAGCAAATACGTAAACGGTGAAACAGCAGCCCTCCAGATGTTGCCAGACCTCCCGTCTCCAGATGCAAAACATCCTGCTTTTAAAAAACGGAGCGGATAATGATAATAATTAAAGTAATAATAATACCAGCTATTTCCACAGCACTGTAAAAACCACGGGAACCCAAGCTTCCACTCCAAGGTTATCATAACGATACTAACCTACAACCCAAGACAAAGAAGAGGAAGGGAGCTGAATAAAAGAAAGTAAATGCTATATGTATTTATCACAGTTAGAATCCGGCGATGGTGGGGAGGAGGAGACCAAAGTGCCATGCTGGCTGTGGCATTCTGGGAAATGGAGTCCAAAGGCATGCACACCCACCCACACCCACTTGTGCCTTGGGACTACAAACCCCAGCATTCCTCACCATGGACGAGGTTGGCTGAGGCTGCTGGGGCTTGTAGTCTAATAACATCTGGAGGGCTGTAGTTTGTTCACCCACATGTTAGACTTTGTAATAGCAGGTCAGAGAGCTTTTTTAAAAAAAAACAGAGTGGTTTTTACGAGACGGCAGATGGTATCAGATAGCTTTCTCGGGGAGCAGTTGCAAAGGTAAGGAGCGTTTGTGGCATGACCTGAGGATAAAAGGATACTTCCAAATGCCCGACAGGGGTGGAATGAAATGAGGGAAGGGGAAATCCCCCAAAAGGGTAGAAAGATGGGCTGGAAAAGGTCAAAATCATTTATTTTTCAGTCGTATTTATCTAATTTATCCTTAAGGGGACACCTATGGTTCTCTTCTTCCCTACTTTATCCCCGGAATAATCCCCCCAGTAAAGCTGAGGGAGAAAGCCAGTGGCTCTACATCGTCCACTGGTTGAGTTCGGACCAACACCCGGATCGCTCCGTTCCCAGTCTTAACACCCTAACAATGAAGCCATGCAGTCTCTGAAACAACAGACAGTTTGAATGCTAAGAAGAAAAACACGGAGATGGGAATATAACAACAGATGAGTAGACGAGAAGGTAGCGATAAATGGTGAAAGATCACCAGAAAATGAACCAATGAGTTTTTGCAAAAAAGATAGAGAAGAAAAATGCATTTTTCTAGGAGACATAATTATTCTCCTCCTTGCTAATTTAATTTAATTTTTCATGTCCGCTGATGATTCTAAGGAAGCCATTTTAGCTTTCTAAAAGTTAAATCATAACCCAAAGCGACCATCCTTCTGGGGCCCTTATTACAATTCGAAAAGAAGGAGTGCCTTATAAATACACCCTTAAAATCCCAAGTATGTTTATCCCTTAAAGTACAAAGCTGAGCTGAACGTTCAAGAACATATAAAGCCTTTAAATCTGATCCTTTAAGAACGTTTCTAAAATCCGAACTTCTGTCTGAAACTCGAGGGCTCCCAACTTAGCAGCAAACAGAGAGAAGAATCTCGGGAGAGCAAGCAGCAAGAATGATCTCTTGTCTCCCCAAATCTTATCCTGCGGGAATTAATGTGAGCTGGGGATGAGCCTTGAAACCTCTTTTTTTTTCACCTGGGAAATCCATCCTTTCGAAAGAAAAAAACAAGAGATGCTCACAGGTGAGTGTCAAAGCGCTGGTCCCTCTTTGGGGGCCAGAGTTTCACAAAATGATCCTGTTGGACTCCATGCCACAGCATCTCTTGCCCAGCCACCGCCATGTGGGGCATCATGGGCCTTGTAGTCCCAAAGTATCACTTCCCCTACCCCCAAACCAGCGCTGACGTGCGCTGGATTATGGAGAAAGCCAGAGAGTTCCAGAAAAACATCTACTTCTGCTTCACTGACTACGCAAAAGCCTTTGACTGTGTGGACAACAGCAAACTATGGCAAATTCTTAAAGAAATGGGAGTGCCTGACCACCTTATCTATCTCCTGAGAAATCTATATGTGGGACAGGAAGCAACAGTTAGAACTGGTCATGGAACAACTGAGTGGTTCAAAATTGAGAAAGGAGTATGACAAGGCTATATATTGTCTCCCTCCTTATTTAACTTATATGCAGAATATATCATGTGAAAGGCTGGACTGGATGAATCCCAAACTGGAATTAAGATTGCCGGAAGAAATATCAACAACCTCAGATATGCAGATGATACCACTCTGATGGCGGAAAGTGAGGAGGAATTAAAGAACCTCATAATGAGGGTGAGAGAGGAGAGCGCACAAAATAGTCTAAAGCTCAACATCAATAGAAATTAAGATCATGGCCACTGGTCCCATCACCTCCTGGCAAACAGAAGGGGAAGATATGGAGGCAGTGAAAGATTTTACCTTCTTGGGCTCCATGATCACTGCAGATGGTGACAGCAGCCACGAAATTGAAATATGCCTGCTTCTTGGGAGGAAAGCGGTGACAAACCTAGACAGCATCTTAAAAAGCAGAGACATCACCTTGCCAACAAAAGTCCGAATAGTCAAAGCTATGGTTTTTCCTGTAGCAATGAATGGAAGTGAGAGCTGGACCATAAAGAAGGGTGACTGCCAAAGAATTGATGCTTTTGAATTGTGGTGCTGGAGGAGGCTCTTGAGAGTCCCCTGGACTGCAAGGAGAACAAACCTATGCGTTCAGAAGGAAATCAACCCTGAGTGCTCCCTGGAAGGACAGATCCTGAAGCTGAGGCTCCAATCCTTTGGCCATCTCATGAGAAGAGAAGACTCCCTGGAAAAGACCCTGATGTTGGGAAAGTGTGAAGACAAGAGGAGAAGGGGACAACATAGGACGAGATGGCTAGACAGGGTCATCGAACCGACCAACATGAATGTGACCCAACTCCGGGAGGCTGTGGAAGACAGGAGGGCCTGGCGTGCTCTGGTCCATGGGGGTCACGAAGAGTCGGACACATCTAAACAACAACACCCCCCCCCAAACTCTGCTTGCAGCCAGGTGTCTGGACGTAGCTCCCAGGAGATCGGGTCCCCCCCCCCCCAGTCCCCAGCCCCTCCCGGGGGGGGGG